AAACAACGAGTAATGGAAATAAAATAAACACAGAAGTCACAAACAACGAGTAATGGAAATAAAATAAACACAGAAGTCACAAACAACGAGTAATGGAAATAAAATAAACACAGAAGTCACAAACAACGAGCAATGGAAATAAAATCAACACAGAAGTCACAAACAACGAGTACTGACAACTAAATGTTTAATTTATTAATGGTACAAAACATTATCACAGAAAATACGAAATAAAAGCGAATGAGTTCTATATAATATTGGTGATTCCTATCAGAGCCTTTTACTTGACACAGCTTTGGAACTTGTTTTAATGCTACATATAGTTTATCACACCATTACAACTGTTGTTCATGAAAACTGGTGATGAAATTAAACTAAAACCCGCACCTTTTTTTTTGGGGGGGGGGGTCTTTGACATCAACATTCCCATACTAGTTTCGGCACATTCACGTGTCTTTTCTCAGTCGGATGGTAAAAATTTCAGATGTTTCTTTTTGAATTTCGCGCAAAGCTACACGAGGGCTATCTTCGCTAGCCGTCCCCAATTTAGCAGTGTAAGACTAGCGGGAAGGTAAGCTAGTCATCACCACCCACCGCCAACTCATGGGCTACTCTTTTACCAACGAACGGTGGGATTCGCCGTCACATTATAACGCTCCCACGGCTGAAAGGGCGAGCATGTTTGGTGGACGGGGATTCGAACCCTTGACCCTCCGATTAAGAGTCAAGCTCCCTAACCACCTGGCCATGCCGGACCAGTTTCAAATGTCTGGAATAACTAGTTTCTTTAAAACTTGTAGCTTAATTAACACCATTGTACTTCCCTGAAGAAAATACTATTTAGATATACCCTAAATATTTGAACAACCTGAGAGCTGGTCTGTTAAACTTTGTTTCAATGGCACCGTTCGTTACCAATAAAAACACAGTTTTCCTGCTCTTAGGTTCTCTAGCTATTTCGAATACCGCAGTATTAAGTGTTAAATTAAGTGTTTAAGTGTTAAAATAATATTCAATCTGAACGACATCTAACGCACAGATGAGCTATAAAAGGTCACGTCAGCGACCACTGTATGCCCATAGTTTTGAATACTGACCTGAGGGAAGGCAGCCAGTTAGCTGCAACCCACCGCCATAAGAACTTTGTCCGACTTTTATCTGAATAGGAACTGATTGTCATCATTTCAAAGCTGTTATTAAGCAGCATCGCGATACAAACCTTGGACCTTAGGATGTTAACTATTGGGCAAATTTCCGTTTAGAAAAGTGTAAAAAAAACAACTAAAAAACTATTAGTTTTCGCTCTTAACCTCACACACTGTTGTACATTGAAATTGGAATTACGTCATACAAGATACACACAGCTTATTGGCGTGTAGAAGTACAAGACTGGGCGTTATTTGAATGTTCAGATTTGATTACTTTTATTTTTGATTCCTCAAATCCGGAACACGAATCAACTTACTGCCCAAGGAAACTCTCCATCATAAGCATCTGTTCCACGAACAATGCGGCTATCTCTAACTCGTTGTCGACCACATAGGCTGGATACAGCTGTGGAAATAAACAACTAAATAGATAAAAACACACGTACATGCAAGGAAAAAAAAATATATTCAAACCCAAAAAACAAAGTGCATCTCATTGAAACGTTAGTCAAGAAAAACTGGGGTCCAGACTACTTTGTGGAAAAAAGTGTTATTGTTTGTTTGCTATGGATTTCGCGCAAAGCTACACGAGAGCTGTCTGCGCTAGCCGTCCCTAATTTAGCAGTGTAAGACTAGAGGGAAAGCAGCTAGTCATCACCACCCACCGGCAACTCTTGGGCTACTCTTTTATCGACGAATAGTAGGATTGACCGTCACATTATAACGCCCCCACGGCTGAAAGGGCGAGCATGTTTGGTGTGACGGGGATTCAAACCCGCAGATTCTCTGACAATTCTTGTCTGACAAATAGTGAGATTTGTCCGACATTCCTCTCCGTCCCCGAACATGCTCGCCCTCACAGTCGTGGGGTGTTATAATGTGACGGTCAATCCCACTATTCGTTGGTAAAAGAGTAGCCCAAGAGTTGGCGGTGGGTGGTGCTGACTAGCTGCCTTTCCTTTAGCCTATCACGAAATTCAAACCAAACCAACATTCCTATACCATATCCAAAACTCTTAAGTGCGGAACGCATTTATTTTGTTTTATAATCCAGACACAGTAAACCACTAGGTCACGCTCGACTTCTTCTGAATTTTAAATTTCAATCAAATTAAATTATTTTACATAGCCTAGAAAAATGAAAACAAATGGTTTTCACTCTTTGACCCAACATGCTGTTGTATACTAATATTTTATTCGTCGCCATTACAGATTTACAAAAAAAAAAAAAATAACGAACAAAAGAAATGTGATTAAGCGAAAAATAATTACACGTTTCTTTATTTCCTTCAACGTAAATCTACACAATACATTATCTGCGTTCTGTCTACCACTTAACCCTGGATTTTAGCGTTTTAAGTCTGTAAACTTAACGCTGAAACTCTGGAGAACAAATAATCGTTTTGGCGCACTACTAATTAACAACGTATTTTTAAAGATTTAATGAGCTATATAGTGGTAAGCTAAAAATCCGGTTTCGATACTCGCGGCGGGCACGGCACAGAGAAGCCCATCGTGTAGCTTTGCGCTTAATAACAAACAAACATACCACGTTATAAATTAGATGTACTTCCGCAGGGCCCCCCTAAAATGTTCTGTTTCAAAGGTAAAGAAAACCAAAATTAAGAGTAACAAATATTTTTATTTATTGCTTTTG